GTTATTGGTGCCTGACAAAGGGGAACAGCCCCAAAGACGCTGACGGAGCTGATGCCCCCCTTCCCAGACAGTTTCACATCACTGCCAAAAACGACAGCTGCCACGGAACACCTGACATCAGGTGCATCAGCTCAAATTAGCCTGACTCAGTCCACCTCAGAAGACTTCCGCCACGTCCCACCCCCGCCCGAGCACTGGCTGTCAACCAGCTCTCTTAGAAGGGGCACAGCGGGCGACAGAAGACGTGGGTAAAACTGCTAACCTCAGCCCTCAACGACGTACGGCCAGTTCACCGGCTAACCTCGTGCCGTCCTTCCCAACCCCTTCTGGGGCCCAGCCAGGGCCTGCATCGTGGGCCGCAGGCTTTCTCTACAAGTGACACAACTGGACCCTCGGTACTGGCCAAAAATGGAAGTGCTCTCATTGCACTTTATCCAAAATACAGGCGAGCACACCACAAAAGGGGCTGTAAATTAAAAACTCGGCAGTAAAAGCTTTCATGTATCCTTGCATTCCTTCAAGGCTTTGCAACCAAACACTAGTGTGTACCGGGCGCCTTGCTAGGTGCAGGGGACTCCTGGCGGGGGACAGGGCAGGCACAGCGTCTCTCCTTGTGGCCTGAAAGAGGACCGGGCCCCTCAAGGAAAAGGCTCGGTGCTGCATTTAACAGTCCCACCCGTTAGCTCCACGATGCCAAAACACGACAGACCCGAGAGAGATGAACTGACAGTCGCGTGCAGCCATGCGGTAACCAGATTCTGAGGAGGACAGTTCGGGAGGGGAGAGGGAAACGTCTTCAGGCTTTCCAATGGGGTAATTCTGGAACAGAGAAGTGTTTTTTCTCTAATAAAAATGTAAAATCAAGCGTGCAAAAGCAAGACAGGCAGCAGCAGCAGCAGTTCCTCGGCCGGCTCCCCACCCTCGCAGCACGCGGCTGCCAGGGGCTTTGCTGCGTCAGAGGGAGGCTGAAGTCTCGGTCTGCTTTCCGGGCAGATAAACAAGCAGCCCCCTGACACGAACAAACGAAAGAGAGTCAGACCCGACAATAAAGCCTGGTAACAGGACGCTGGAACCTTCAAACGGGGACCACAGAGGAAGTGCAGACGCAGACGAACTCCGGGCGTACCCGAGCACTAATAAGCAAAAGCCGTGCTCCGGCCCCGCTGCAGCGAGAGCAGCGCAGAGGCCAATTATTTTCTGCCCTCATCAAGACAGCCCGTCACCCCGGCACAGAACAATTATCTGTCGGTGCCACAGCTAAACGCTGATTTCTCTCCCCAATTCAGCATGGAAAAAGTGCTGTTCACAGCAATTTGACATCATTTCATTAGATTAGATTAATTTTTAAATGTGTTATCCTAACAATTATGCCAACTACCACATAATTAATATTCCAACTGACTTTACAAAAATTACAAAATCCCCTAAAGAAAATAATTAGTTATTAGGCATGAACGAGACTTTTCTATGGCCAAGAGCACATTAAACAGAGAGTTCATCACATAATGGGGGTAGGCAAGCGTGCCCCACACTTCCTCCAGCTCCTAGGCGGCAGTGCGCGCGGAAAGCTGACACTGGCAAGTTACCCCTAACTGCACTTCTCATATCAATGCACTTGCTGGTTTAAACTCTTTGAGGGTAAAGTGATGAACAATGAAAGCCTCAGCAATTAAAAGACCATCCACTTGTAGGAGCAGCAAGATACACACATATCGTTGTTTGCTGTGCCCATATCCCCCAGCTGAAAATTAGAATACTGGCTTATTTCTTAGGGTTATTTCTTCAGTTTTTAAAGAAATGTACATAAGACCTCCTTGCCGTTGTTTTCCTCTTTTCTTTCAGGGTTTTACTTATTCTTATAATCTACCTAATATCCTTTCCAGAGTCAGGTAAATAAGTCGCAGGCAGGTATGACATTATCTGTGATAACAGAAATAAAAAATACATCCTCCCCGCAGCCCACCTTTGAGTGATTGGCAGGGGCTGTCCAGCCCCAGGACACAGGAGAACACGTGCGGCCGCAGCAGGAAAGAGCGCAGCAGTTGACCAGCGATGCCTGCCCTGGACAGAGCCATAGCCTGAGGATGTATGCACTATGTATTTGCCATCTCCATCCTTCAATGAACCACTAAAAATTAGTAAAATGGCCTGGCTGGTGCGGCTCAGTGGACTGAGCACCGGCCTGCAACCAAAGGGTCGCCAGTTCGATTCCCAGCCACAGCACAGGCCTGGGTTGCAGACCAGGTCCCCAGTCGGGGACAAGCGAGAAGCAACCACACACTGTTGTTTCTCTCCCTCTCTTTCTTCCTCCCTTCCCCTCTCTCTAAAAAGAAATTTTAAAAAATTATTTGAAAAAATTAGTAAAATGTATACATATTAATGAATAAAATTCATGAATTGTTTCTAGGATATAGGCTAAAAAGGGCAGAGGATGTTTTCTATAGTCAAAAATCTTAAGCCAAACTGGATGAAACCACCACGTTTTAGAGGGAAAAAACTCTGACCTCAGTTAGGAAATGCAAATTCTCCTCTAGCTGTACAGCCATGAGCATGTCAATTCAGTGGGACTTGGTTCGCTCAGCTGTAAAATCAGGGGTTGAACTAAAGATCTCCCAATCATTCTCTTCATTTTTCCCGATCAATAATGCAAAGCAGCCCCAAACCCTCTCTCTGCTGGGGCAGCAGCTGGTGCGAGAGCACTCACTCTGCAGGCTGTGGCTGAAACCCCTTCCTCTCTCCCGTTGCTCACATGGGATGTACTGTCTCATAAATGTCTACACCCACTCAACCTGCAGCATCACCAGAACAAGAAGTTCCATACACGTAATATTTCTTGCCCTTAATGCAACCTCTTTTCCATCTTGGGGCAAGCGTGGGAGGCAGGGGCAGGCACTTCTATTTTAATATTCGAACTATTAATTTGATGAACAATTAAGTTACCTTCATTCAAAAGTTAAGTGTCATCATTTCCACTTAAAGCCAGCCCTGGCTGGCGTGGCTCAGTGGGTTGAGTGCCGGCAGCAACCCAAAGGGTCACTGGTTTGGTTCCCAGCCAGGACACGTGCCTGGATTGCGGGCCAGGTCCCCAGCTGGATACGTGTGAGAGGCAACTGATCTAAGCATCTCTCACACATTGCTGTTTCCTCTCTTTCCTGTTCCCTTCCCCTCTCTCTAAAAGTAAATAAATAAACTCTTTAAAAAATAAAAAAAATAATAAAGCCAGTCACTTCCCCTGGAGTCCGAGTCACTCATGGTTTCCCCGCTGGGAAGTCTCCACCCCTCTAACACGTTCCAAGAACAACTCTATCCACGTGATATATAAACATGGCGTCCACGTCCAAACAGCTAGGAGTCCAATCATGATCCGACCGGTCACATCCCACCCACTCACCAGGCAAACTCCTGTTTAGATGACCAAGAGCGCCCACGCAGGACGGCCTCAGAGGGAAGCGCTGCCCAGGAAGGGCTGGGCCAATCTTGTGTCTGGCCTTGGCGACCACCACAGACACGTATAATTTTGTCGTCAGCCTGGCATTCCCTCCTTGTGGGAACTGCCTTTCTCCAACTTCAAGGAGCCCCGTGTCCTGTGCCTGCGGTGACCCACGTTGGCCAATCAGAGAGCCTCACCCCTGGATTTAATGACCTGTCTCGGGGGCCGCCTGCCAAGCAGGGCCAGAACCCTTCTCCCGGGTCTGATGTGCACCCCGGGAGATCAGCCGGCAGGAGGGCCGTGCGACCCTACAGTGGCCGGGCTGTCTTTTCTACCCCTTGGAGAGCATCAGGCCAAGCCAGCAGGAGCCTCGAGAGGGCAAGGGAGTGACAGAGCCCACACCGCCTAGGCACCCTGATCCTCGGGGCCAAACTGATTTTCTGCCACCGGCAGCCCCGAGTTTGGGGGACAAGCCATCAAGGCTAAATGTGTGCATCCGGGCCTCCAGTTCTTTCTCTAGTGCCCCACGATCAATCGCTTCTCCCTGACTCTCAACCTCAGCTGCCGAAGAACATAAATACCCCCCCAGAGAAATTTCCTTTAAATTCTGCGCACCAGAAACACTGTCAAGGCTCATCTGTCATCCAGCACCAGAGGGGGCAAGGACCACAGAAAAGAGGAAGAACACAACGGATAACTGAGAGGACAGAGCAGTTCACCAACAATAACCGTGGGAACTAAGGAGGTAGCAGAGACTAATGAGAAACGCTTCCAAAATCATTCCAAACATGTTCTCAGGGCAATGTCCTCATTCTCCATCAGCAGGAGGAAAAACACCACACACAACTACCCACACCCCCAAACAAAAGGAACTATCAGCAAACAAGCTGTTTCCAGGCCACGACCCTGACTGCGCCTGTCATTCTTAGACCACAGTCCAGCGTCCCCTCTCCGGCCGTCCCAGGGGCCTTGCCACTGCCGGCCCGCCCGCCTGCCAAAGGAAGCCACAAATGGCAAGCTCTACGAGGCACGCACAGGACACTCTCCCTCAGATGCGACCCAAAGGAATTAGAGAGCAGTTAGAGAGCAACCTAGCAGCAGCCTAGTGACGCGCCCCCCCCCCCGCCCCCCCACGGCAGGGGGAAGACCGTGCAAGCGTCACAGGCGACGGCGAGTGGCCGAACATCCGGACCACCAGTCCTTCGCCTTCGGGGGGTGATGGGCTCCTCTCAGAAGCTGATGAAAGCCAGGCTTCCCCAGGAGCCGGGGGGGGGGGGGGGGGATTGCACACACCGCATGTTGTATATCATTTTAAGGGGTGGATACAAAGCTGCTTCCCACAGCCAGCCTTCAGGTTACACACACCTGACTTACATTTTTTAATGTAATTACCTGGCATCGTGAATAAGCAAGCCCCAAAGACTTCAAAGGACTACACAATAGCTTGTAGGGAAATTCTAAAGCTTCCAACTCTGTAACCCCATGCTAAATCGAGAACAAAAAAAAGAAGGAAATGTAAGAAAACCTGGCACTTCCCGGGCTGGCTCCATTTCTGACAGGTCGCCCTTACCTTGTTCGACCATTTATATGCCTGCAGGAGCTGACTGTAGAGAGGCGTCTTGTCCTGCACGGGATCCAGGCTCAACAGCCCGCTGTTGTGCAGAGGCTGGTTCTCGGACGGCTTGCCCACCAGGCTGCTCAGGCGCTCCAGCTCGCTGAAAGAGCAAACAGATGAAGCAAACCTGAGCCCACCGGCACTCCGAGGCTTAGCCCGCCACATGGGTCAGAGGTCCCTCAAAAAGGACTTTTCTGAAAGGTGAAAAAGGTTAGGGGCAATCAAGAAAATCCCTAACTGGGCGTTTATCTCATTTTAAAACCAAGCTCTCCGGTACCATTCCAAAGGAAAGGGGAAAAGTGAAGAGTGCTGGGATCGATAACCCTCCTAAAAGTGGGACTTAACACGCGTTGTTCTCTGTGAGGGGGGAGGAGACCTCCTGGAATTTTGAAATGTGGTATAACGCTGCTTCTCGCTGAGGTTTCAGACCCACATACAGATCATTACATGGGGCAGAACAGCAAGTACCTGAATAAATGATGATTATTTGTCGTTCACATAGGGACAGATTTGTACATGGCGCTTCAGAGATGGTAACACCTAAAACACACTTAAAACAGAGAAGAGAGAAAATAAACAAATGGGAGGGAAAGACACTACCGAGGGGGCTATGTCAACCTGACACACTTCACTCTGGCAGGACAACTCTAGAGAAACTGGGAAAGTGAACCAAGAGCACAAGCGCACCCCAGGAGCACGCTGGGGGGCCACTCCCAAGCGGTCAACTTAAGGTGCTCGAGGAAGAGCTGCCACTTTCACTTTGGAATCTTCAGCTACCTTCTTCTAGGCACGACTGTAGAAAGATTTAAGAAAGCAAAGGGGTAATGCAAACACTCCTAAACTTTCTCGAATGGTGAAGGGCTACAGCTTCTTAAACATGAGGAAGGGAAGCAAATCGGAGAGGAAAGAAGGACCCACGTGCCCCCTCCAGCAGGGAGAGTCCAACGGCCCTGTGCCAAGGAGCCACAAGCGATGTGGGAGTTGAGGAGGGGGTTTGGTTTCCTGGCCTTCCCCCAAAAAAGAAGGGCAACTGCTTGGCGGCCGGGGAACAGAGTCACCCTTCATTTGATCACCACCTCCTCCTCCATTCTATCTCCCTCTTCCATCTGGTTACTAAGGAGACAGGTTGAGGGGGAAAATACCAATCCATCCACTCCAGCATTCAAAGGAGGGCTAGCTCCCCAAACGCCTTTCCTGGCTCATGTCAGTTCTGAGAAATAAAATGCAAACAACGTGACATCCTAACCTACCTGGAAAGACTACCTTTCTTAAGGAAGGGGCCCTAACCACTTGAAGAGTGCCTACTATGTGCAATTTACAAACATCCTCCCACTGAACTCTTACAACACCACTTATGAAATAGAAGTAGAGAGGATAAGCTGTAAGAAAGAGAAATGGACAATCCTTACCCTTAAAGGGACCGCAAATTAATAAATGGGGAGGGGTGTTAAGCCTGAGCTTAGTTCTCCCTCGAGGAAGGACCTCAACAGAGCAGTGGGAGTCGGGAGGGGGCAGGAAAAGGCGGACCAAGGCCTGTTTGGCCGTGTTCGGCGGCGGGACAGCTGGCACTGATGAATTCCAGGTCGCGAGGGGGCGGGAACTGGGGCTAACCAGCTCGGGGGCACGCGGGTTCGGGGCAGGGCTGCGCCGGTCCCCTTTCGTGCTATGACTACAGTGTCATGAGACGCGGTGGGGCACAGAGGGCCTACAGGTGAGAAACCTGCCAAGCCGAAGTGAGAAGTGGAAGTTCGTGGGAAGGACGTGTCTCCACGTGAGCAATGGAACGATCGCAGAAGGGGGCCTGGGAGGCGGGCGGCAGCCGGTACTAGGACGCCAAGAGAAGGGAGCCGAGAACGCGGAGGTGGAGGATCAGGTGTCCCTGAGGGACAGGCAGAGGCTGGGAGGAGGGGAAAAGAACGAGGGGACAAGGTAAAGGGAGAAGGGTCTCTACACAGGGAGACTCGCGTGGGGTCGGGTCCGGGTGGGAGCCGGATCGGCCCCCGACCCCGGCCCCTTCAGCCGGTACCTACTTGAGGTCCCGGTTGACCGAATGCAAGTTGTCCTGGAAGTGCGCGATGAAGGCCTTCTCCCGGCCCTCCAGCGTCTCCTTGTTCCGCATGCCATCCTTCAGGCAGTCGAACACCCTGCTCACGCTGGAGCGCAGCGCCTGGATGGCACTAATGGCCTGGGAAAAAGCCTCCAGGTTCACGCCGACACTCAGCACGTCCGCCATGTTGGCGCCGCTACAGCGGGTTCTCCCAAGCCGGCTTAGCGAGCCGAGCGCCGCGCACGCTGATGACGCAGCCTCGAAGGCTTCTGGGAAGTGTAGTTTCCGTGGGCCGGGGCTGCCCAGGGAGGGTGGTGCGGCGGCTGTCAGAAAGAGGGTTTCCACTTTAACAACAGGAACGCATGAGTGGAAAGTGATCGCGACTTAGAGAAGTCAGGCCACACGCCTGGAGTTCTTGATGACAAGGAACTACAAAAGGTTCCTGCATTTCCCCAAACTTGCACTTTTGAGAGTTTTGAGAACAAGAATTGCCCAGAGGAATAAGTGCCCATGGAGTAAAAAATTATAACCCATTGAATAAAATGAGTCCATATGTATAAATAAATGGGAGATAAGGAAAATTTCTTCCCTACAATAGAATGCCAACTAATAAATGTAGAAGGAATGATGGAAAGAAAATTACCACTTGGCAGCGTTGGAATAATAATTGATTCAGTTAGGACCAAGGGACGCTAAAACTAGTGAGTGGAAGTGTGAGGAGTAGCGGGATAGCTATGTAATCTCAGGCTATCACCCCACAAGGAACTGATTAACGAAGAAGGAAACAATAATGATCGAGCGATTTCCCTTCTGGGTACAGATCCAGAAGAAGGGAAAATGGGCCGGAGCAGGTATTTGTGCGTGCATCTCCGTGGCAGCTTTATCCACAGTAGCTGAAAGGCAGAGAGACCCAGTGTCCGTCCTCAGATGCGTGCATGAGCCGCTTGTGGGGTATACATACAAAGGAACATCTCTGGCAGCCTTAAAAAGGAAGGAAATTCTGACACATGCTACCATATGGATGAAGCCTTTAAGACATTATGTTCAATAAAATAAGCCAGTCACAAAAGGACAACTGCTGTATGATTTCACTTCTGTGAGGTCCCTTGAGTGGGCAAATTCACAGGGACAAAAGTAGAATGGTGGTTGCTGGGGGCTGGGAGAGATGGGGAGTTAGTGAATAACTAACTTCAGTTGGAGAAGGTGAAATATTTCTGCAGGTGGTGGTGATGGCTGCCCAACAACATGAATGTACTTGATGCTACAGAACGAGACACATAAAAATGGTTCAAGTGGTAAGTTTTAGGTTATATATATTTTACCATATATTTTTAAAATTCAGTCATGTAAAAGTGGGGGGAGGTACTAGTGACTTCGCCGTGGAGAAATCTGGCAGACATCACTTGAACCAAGAGTTCAAGGTCAACATCACCCGTGAAGGGCACAGCCGCCTCCTGAAGTGACGCACTGCGAAGAGGGCGCCATGACTTCCAGGATAGTCCTGCCAAAAATGCAAAACCTAAATCTGATGAGGACGTCAGGCAAACTCAGACAGAAGGACATGCAGCTAAATAACTGACCTGTACTTTCCCACAAGACATGTGTCATGAAAGACAAAAAAAGGACTGAGGAACGGTTCCAGAGTAAAAGCGACTGAAGAAACAGGATGACTGAATGCAATGCATGAGCTGGGGATTTCTTTTGCTGATATGACCGAGACAATGGGTGAAATCTGAATTAGGCTGTTGATTAGCATTAGTTCATGGTGTTTTATCAGTGATGATTTCATGAATTTGATAAATATATTGTGGTTATGGAAGAGGATAGCCTCATTTAGGAGAAATATACCCTGAAGGAATAAACAAAGCATCATTCTGTGTGCATGATAAAGAAAACAGTGTGGATATGTTTATTCAGAGGAAGATAAAGCAAAGGCAGTAAGATAGGAACAACTGTAGAGTCTGAATGAGAGATATACAGAACTTATCTGTACTATTCTTGCAAGTATAAGACTGAAGTTATGTCAAAATAAACTGTTTTCAATGGCCATCAGTAAGGAGTATAGAAAGTGTACACACAGTCTAAGTGCTAAGAAAAATCTTCGGTTTGCCAGGCTATGTGGACCAGGATTTTTGAAATTGCGCAGCTTAAACTCACTTCCTTAATGGTTCTGTTTCTTGTGCAGCTTCACACCTCTGCGCCCAGCCAACCCCCAGACCGCCTTAGTTCAAACCCTCTGGTTCTGGATTGGTACAGATGAGCTCTGCCCCAAAACTGGGCCCTGGGGTTGCTCCCTATGAGACAAACAGCTGGCCCATAGACATTCAAATTAATTAATAGTACCATGAGAACAAAACATATCTTGTTGCCTCGGATTTATATAGTTGCTTTCGTTTCCTGACATCTACCTCACTTTTTTAAGTATTGGAATTTATAGTTCTCTTTTAAGGGAAGGAGTAGAGTTAGGAAACGTCTAGCGGTGAACTTGAAACAAGTTATGGAGCCTTCATGAGCCTCAATTTCCTCATCTGTAATAAGACCAGTAATAATAATACCTATCTTTATACACTAAGTGTGTCATAATAGCTTGCAGGCACAGCTCTTGAAATAATGGTTAGTGACTAATAAACCCTCAGAAGACCATACGTGGCGGGAGAATGTGCTGAGACAGTCCCCCGCAGGTCCGTGACCCGTGCACCTGTCTCCATTCGAGGACTCTGAGCAGAGTCATGCAAGGTTTAGCAGTGGGTCTGTCCCTTCCAGTTATCTCTAATGACATTACCCTGCCCGTAGCAACTCGGATACGCAAGAGTGTGTCAGTGACCTGTGTCCTATCATTCATTCTTTTCTGGTGACCTCTTTATCTCCTTTGGAATGTAGGTTGTTTCTTTCTTGAAGGTTTTATTTTCACGTTGGATTTTCAAAATTATTTTTATTGAGGGGTAATTGACACAAAACCATCAATTAGTTCTGGGGGTTCAACATAATGACTTGGTATTTGCGTACATCGGGAAATGGTAGCCACAATGTCTGCTTCACATCTGTGGCCACCCATAGTTACAGGATTTTTTTCCTTGTGATGAGAATGTTTGAGAGGTACTCTCTTAGCAACTTTCAAATATGCCGTACAGTATTACTGAGTTGCCATGCTAGCGTGTTTTTTTTTTTTTTAATCCTCACCCAAGGACATTTTTTCCAATGCTTTTAGAAATAAAGGAAGGGCAAGAGAGAAACATCGATGCAAGAGAGAAGCATCGATTGGTTGCCTCCCAGCCTGGGGATCACACGTGCCTGGACCTGGGACCGAACCCGCAATGTAGGTATGCGCCCTGACCGGGAATAGAACCCACAACCTTTTGGTTCTGGGACAACACTCCAACCAGCTGAGCCACACTGGCCAGGGAGGTGCCATGTCGTATTTTAAGGCTTTTGTAGAAAATACCTTTTTCACCTTTGCACAAGTGAAATTTCTGTGCTCGTTTGCTTGTTTGGGTTTTGGCCTCCGTTGGTTTATCCTTTCCAGGGGAAGGTTAGAGAAGGCAGGCTCTATGGCTGTGTTGACTCACCCTTTTGGGGGTCCCCACCGGCTTGGAGAATGTGACCTCTGCTGTCTACTTTATTCTCAGAAAAAAGTACCAGTCTATTTCTGCCCACACCAATACCTACCTACAAACACAAACTTCTCATGCCATTTTGGGAATTCATTGTCCCCCTAAAGCACAAGCGTGGACCTCTGGTTAAGAGTCACACTCTAGGCAAGTGCCTGGGGATGTGGCCCGCAGCCTTGCCTGGGGCGCAGCGGATGCTAGTGTAAGCTGAAGCGGTGAGGAAACACAATATATTATATATTTGCCTTCTGGACCCCCTCTCTGAGCTATTTCTTCTCTTTGTCTACTCAGATATCACTTCTCCTCCCTCCTGCTCAGCCCTCTTCCCCCCCCCACTTCCCCCCCCGACCATGCACGGTAAGATTTTCCTTTGTCTTTGTCTCCGATTCAGTGGTTTAGACTCTGATTGGTGCAATAAAGTACAAACACACTGGGCTCCCGCAGTCATTAGTTTCCAGGATTGCTCGGTGGCTCCCCTCTTCTGGGAAACTCAGAAATTGATCCATGGAAATACACATTTCCCCCCAACCCAGTAAGGAGTCTATCATTACATCAACAGAAAACTTTTCATTTTGGAAAGGAATGGACAGAGCTTCTCCAAGGTGTCATAAATTCTCGAGAACGTCGGCACATAGATGCTTGCGTCTATGTATGTCTGTAGGATATAAATTACTTTAAAGGAGTTCATTTAGAGCAGCATCAGATTTTAATTATTATGATCTTCTGTTTGGGTAAAAGGCAGCACCCTGCTGCTAATATCTTCCAAAATGAACAAGCCATTAGCTTGGTGCTATCAGCTCAAGAGTATTAGAGTGAGCAATCAGAATTAAAGTTGTCAGTATTTAATTAAAATATGCTGCAGCTCCCACCATATTCAGAGGGCACGTGGTTTAAGCATTCAGGCTGCAAAAGCACCCTCATCAATTAATAATTATTAAGGATTCACTGGATGCAGAACACTGCATTGGACGGTTGGGCAGAATGTCACCAGCAGGATTTAAAACCAATCTGCCTTGGATAAGCCACAATGTAACTAAGTCACCTGTCGTAATCAGCGTGGCATAATGCTTAAGGCCCTGGGTTGCTCCAAGGATTAAATGGAGGCAACATACAGTCCTGGGGACACGTAAGCACTCAAGTCAGTCATTCAGTAAACATAGATATTTAACGTGTTCGGCAGCTTGCTGAACAGCTGGGGGGACAATGATAAAACCAGGCCCACCAAGCCCCAGTCCGCGTCACTAAAAATATCTACAGTGGATTACGCGTGCCTCCACATTTACCTAAGACTCAGTGCTTTCAATCACTTTCAGATTGTTTAGATCAATCACTTTCAGATTGCTTAGAAACAGCCCCAGCCAGTGTGGCTCGGTGGGTTGGGCATCATCCCATAAACTGGAAGGTTGCAGGTCCGATTCCCAGGCAGAGCACGTGCCTAGGTTGTGGACCCAGTGCCCAACTGGTAGGGGTACGGGTGAGAGGCAACTGATCGATGTTTCTCCCTCACGTCGGTGTTTCTCTCTCCCTCTTTCTAAAAATCAATGAGCATGTCCTCAGGTGAGGAATAAATAAATAAATGCT